CTTGAGCTTTTCAGCAGTGCTAAAACTGAAGATTTTGGCAATTCTTAGAGATAGACTAAGTGTTTTTTGCATAAAGGATGTACATGAGTCTTTGGGTGGCCAGGGGTGGAATGTTATGATTTGTGTCTGGGCATCCTCTGCCTTAGCTTACTTATGAGCCTTATGCAGTCATAGAGGCAGCTGGATCTAGCATTTGTGATTGGTTCGATGTCTAGCACTGGGATTGGCAGTGTGAATGCTGCACCCTTCCAGGGGCAGGTAGCTGGCATACAATATAAAGGCAGGAAGGAGCTCTTGTCACTTGCGGCTGCCATGAACAGTTCTTCTTGTGCCATAGCACCCTACCTTGGAGCCAGCTGAGTATGGACTGAAATCTCCAAAAACTATAAGCTAAATAAATCTTTCCTTCCCTAATTTTGGGCACCAGGTATTTTATCTCAGCAACAAGAGAAAAGTAACGAAGACATCAGGGCACTTCTCCCTGGTGTTGGTACTGTCTCAGGGAGCCCAGCCAATAGGCTGTTATGAATGAGACTTTGAGCTGAGTTCATTAAGATATGTTAGCAGGTTTATACTTTCTTCATTAATTTTTTTGTTTAGAACTTAGTGATGGATAGTGATGGGTATCTGTAGGATCAGTATTCCCAGCAACTCAGTTGACACATGGGGTTGAATGAACTACCATGGGTTGACGGGAGAGAAGAGCAGTATTATTTTTAAAGACCAGAATCTGTTTCAAGGAAGCTTGATGGCAAAGGGGAAGGATTATTTTAGATTTGAAATAGTTAAGATGTAGATAGTCTTAATTTAATAGGATACAAAGAACTGGAGCATTTGTCATTTTTCTTTTTGTTCTGGATTCCTACAATTTGTGCACCATAAATAGTGCACACAGGAATCCCTTGAAGTGTTGTATGCTTTATCCTCACCAAGCATCCATTTCTGGTCACATGACCCGTCTCATCAGGACCCCTTCTCTGGGGTCTTCTGACATTACCTTTTTTTTGCTTGTCAAGATTATCTGGTATTTCTAAAGGTTTTTGGCTCTGTCTTAAGAAAGATGGAACACTTAAATCTGAGCAGAGAATTTGTGGGCCATATATATTTTAGCTCAAAATCTTCAAATGAAACAATTTTAATATGCATTTTCTGTAGAAATATTAATAATTGCTTCATACATTATTCAAGAAAAAATTATTTTGTATCACCAATAGCTCTCCTAATCTTACATAAAGATATGGTAATGGATTTAATTAAAATAATTATACTGAATAATGTAGCCTGAACTTTACCCTAAAATAGTGTCTATTAATCATCATCGGTAGTAATATTTTTAGCCAGAGAAACACTTACAACATTAAACTGATGCTACATGCAAAATGCATTTTTTGTTGTGTTTTACGGTTTATATTAAGTTGGCATTCTCATGAGATGCATGACAATTAAATTTGTTTACAGTATAAAATTTATTTAATTTCTTTAACCTGATCTATTTCAGCAATTAAAAAGTTTTAGCATTTTCTGCCCTTTCATACTCCTTTTATGAGTTTTCTTTTTTCCATTTAAAACTTTAGTTTCAATGGGTTTCTTGTCCATTTGATTCGGTTTTGACCTTACTTTTCTTCCTAAGAGTTATGATTGCTGAATGCCATGAGTACCCCAGTTGCTTAGATATTAAGAAATGAACCCAATTTTAAGACATCCAGCAACATGAATGTCTTTTAATCTAAGTAGAAATAGCTTCACCACCAGCCATGATTCTCTCTAATTTTGTTTGTGGTATCTTTCCATGGATTGCTGGCTTTGAGGTAGTGCTCAGTGGTGAAAGCCCTATTGCTTTTCATATGCCTGAGTGTGTATGAGACTCAGGTATGGCTTCTGGTTGAGTCTGTGGGCCAGTGTACATGCATAATTGCCCTAAGCTCATGTGCGTTTAGAATTGGACTCATCTACCCTCAGGAAGACATACGAATACTTCATCAAGTTCAAAGAAAAACTCTGAGAATGCCACTTGGGCATACTAGGCAGGATAGCTATGGGAAGATTCCAGCAGGGGAAGCCTTTGGAACCCTGACCCTTCCTTGGGACTCTGCCTGTCCTGGTTAACGCAGTATCAGATGTCCTCATGACACAAGTGAGAGTAGACTATAAAGACTTATCTTGTTTGTTGCTGTCTGCTTTACTCTTGTGAAATGATATTTATGAAGTTGCTGCAGGCAGATGTTGGATACAGTATAAAATGCATGAAGCCAATTTGTACCTTAACCTCTGGTCATCCACAAACTGAACAAGACACTTGGAGAGATTGAGCAATTACTAAATGTCATGATAAACATTGTCTAGCTCTTTCAAACCAACTTTGAAGTGTTTGACACAGAATGTTTGGAATCACTATAAAATTATTTCTATTTAATTCTCTTTTCAGTTTCACCTTCCAGCAGATAATTGGAAACTCTTGGCATTGATGGATAGGGTTAACACCTTTAAAGAACAGCTGTCACACCTATAATTCTGTAGGTAAAATCAATGCATTGAAGTTACTTTTCTGCATTTTGTCCCCTGGACTACCAAGTGTTAAGCTTAGTGGTGAAGACTATAGATGTGGTGCTTTCATAGGGACAGTGTTAAACCAGCCATGGAGGTAGACCTCCCTTAATCTAGCAATGGGAAGCTGAACAAATGACCTCACTGTTTTGTGCCTCCACACCTCATCTGTGAGTGAGGCTGATCATGAGTTTCCCTCTAAAGCTCTTCTTGAGCATTTAATGTTTCAGTATAGTGGAGCACCTAGAAACATGGCTGATGCTATTCACATTTTATAGATTAGGAAACTTGAACTTGTCTGAATTGACAAATATGTAAGTCTTACACATGAGAGTCAAAACACATTTTAGCATTGTTGGAGGCATTTTGCATATTGAATAGTTGTGGATGTACTTTCAGGTAATATATTTTTGATCATTAAAAAGTTCATGGTCTAATTATTCTCATGAATATGCACTTTCTTATTGGACAACTCACTGGCTTTCACAAAGGTATAGTGTAATCATGCTGTGGAAGAGTTGCATAAACCCTTGTATTCCTCCACCCAGTCCTGGAAGACTCTACCCCTGCCCCTGGCAATTGATTATAGGTTTTGGTCTTTCCATAATGTTATAAAGTAGAATCAGATAGTATGTGGTCTATCAAGTGTGTCTGATTTTATCTTAGTGTATGTGAGATTCATCACCTGTGTAACAGTGATTTGTTCTTTTATGGTACCAAATAGTGTTCCATTGCATGAATTCACCTCTTGAGGGGCATTTGGGTTGTTTCTTGTTTCTGCTGAATACAAATAAAAGTCCTGGAAAATTTCATGTACAGTAGTTTTTATGAACACAAGTTTTCATTTCATTTGATTAATCTGACATTCAGGAGTGCGGTGTTTAGGTTTTCTGGATCATTCCTGTCTCATGGTAAGGAGCTGCCAAGCACTTTTCTAAAGTTTCTCCACTATTTTTGCACTCAGACTGGCAGCATATGCAAACAGCACAATGGTATAGTGTTTGTTTTGAACAATTCTAGTAAACATTAGTGGTATCTCATTGTTGGTTTAGTTTATATTTCTCTGATGACTTATGATACTGAGTATCTTTCTGAATGCAGAGTTGCCATTCTTGTATCTTTTTGGAGAACTTTCTTTTCAAAACTTTCATCCTCCTTTGAAGAAGGTGCAGAGAAGATGGTTTTCCTCTCTCAGAGTGTAGCTCTTTTTTGTTATCTAAGTGGTGTGTTTCAAAGTGTCTAGGCTTTTTGTTTTGGGTGTTTCCTTTTATAGATTGTGCAGTTTAGTACCACATGGAAGAAGTCTTTGCTTAACTCAAGGTCACAATATTTTTTTCTTGAGTTTCCTAGTTTGACATTTTTCACTTAAAAACACTGTGGTATGTAAAGTTAATTTTTGTCCAGTGTGTGAGGCATGGAATGGAATTCATGTGATGACCATGTTGAGGCACTATATATTTTGTTATGTAGTCATTGACCATATATATGTTCAGGGTAATATTTTTAAAGTGAGTTTCTGCCTATTTGCTTTGGAAAATAGCAGTAAAAATTACTTATATAATAGATACTATATTTTCCAGGGTTAAAGTATTACTTTTTTCTCTGAGCTTTAATGCAATTCTTTGAACTATCCTTCATGAGTGAGGTTTAATTCATGGAGATGGAGTTCAGCCTACTATGTGGAATTACTTAAGGGTCACTAGAGAAAGTGGCAAAACATAGTTAGATTATTTAAAGTTCATAACTTTCTGTAACAGGATATAACAAAACAGATTCACCAAATTGAACTTTAATTCTAGCTCAGTTCAGTACTAGCTGTGTGATCAAGGGCACAATATAATTTGTGTCTGCATTTTCAAGTTCTTTATTGAACACTGGTAACTCACCAGAAAAGAACTGTTAGAATTAAAGATAAACTATTGCAAGGGTCTTAGCATAGTGCATAGCAGTCAGTAGGACCCATTACTCTGTTGAGCATGTGTATTTCGTGGGAGGACATGAACTTAGGAAGTAATATCACTAAAGGACAAAATGATTCATAACTGTACCAGGAAATACTTTTGGAGTAGAACAGAGGTTTTAATTGTTGACTGTGGAAGCACTGTGGTGGATTTCATGCAAGAAGCTACCTCTAGGTAGGGCATGATCTGCATTTTTTTAGGAGACTTGAAATAACACGGAGGCTTAACATACATTGTAACTGCTTGGTCTGCAGATGATAAATGTGTTTTTGTTAGTATTACTTTTATTATTATTATAGACAATGCAACTGTGTGACAAATTATGAATTTTTGTGGATTAGAGATTTTTTTGCTGTTTTCTTTGTGTTTGGCCATCACCTCTCATGAACTGATCTTTCTCCTCTTGACATTACGATTTCTTCATAAGAATTACGGATTTTCATTAACTCCCACTAATCTGCATTTGGCTCAGCCTTCATTTTTCTTGGTTTGCAGGGTGCGGCATTGAAATACTTGCCAACTATCGTCAATGATGTGAAGTTGGTGTTTGATCCCAAGGAGCTCAGGTAACTGTGCATGTAAGGTAAACGCTCGCCATTCATAGCCTTATGGTGCATGCAAATAGTTTGTGTCTTGTCTGCATAGATCAGTGTGCCCTGATTATTCTAAGAAAGGAAAGGTAACAAAAGAATAGCACAGTTCCTATGTTTTGGGGCTTGTTTGTGTTTATTTATTTTTAATTTTTTAATGTTTTATTTTGAGACAACGTCTAGCTAAATCACCAAGTTGTGCTGGTGGTATCTGTGACACTTTGCTAATTTTGACTATATGGAAAATGAATTGGCTATCACCCGCCACAGTGATTTCTTTAAAAGGTAATTTAGAGCCCTGTGGCCTATTATTATTGATAACATAAATCTGGCATTTTGTGCATGTTTGGGTTTGGATTTCAATGTGTAGTTTTGATTTTGTTTTAATTTGCAGCAGCTGAAAAATTTAACATGGGAGCAGCACATGATAGTCCATGCCTGGAATCTCAGAATTCTGGGAGGGTGAGGCAGGAAATTTGCAATTTCAAGCCCAGCTCGTATAACTTAGTGACTTTTCTAGACTGTCTCAAAGTAAAACATTGTACAAAAACCAAACCAGACCCAAACAAACCCTAAAACACAGAAGCCATACTACTCTTCTGTTATCTCCCCTTTCCTTTAACGCATAAGCTTTGCACTTCATGTATGGATATACAGGAAAACATTTTTGGAAAATAGTAAACACTTCATTTTAGTTAGTGAATGTGGAAGAGCTACAGTGGATTTAATACAACAACAGTCTTATAGGGTACAGGTCTTCATTTCATTCTATGAGACTTCGTTAGAGTTAAAGGAGGAAAAGTGCATAGATGATTAGAACACAGTGAAACACTTAGTCTGCAGGTGATAAATGTCAGTTTCTGTTAATACTACTTTTACTGTTAATGTTTCCAAAATGAGTGGCTACAGGCCTTAAGAAGAAGGGTTGAAAGCTGGCCTCTAAGATGAATTAATGAATACATCTATAAAAAGATGCAAACAACTCCCAAAAACATAGGAGGAAGATGTTCATTATGCTTTCAGGCAGAGGAGGGTGATTGGGAACCAAACCTTTTTTTCTCAAATGTGCCGCTCATATCCTAAGTTGTTCACACTCAGTGTTTGATGTGTTGTCTCTGGCTATCACTACTTTTGGAGAAGCACTATTGGGATCAAGTTGGGGAGCGGCCTTATTAACTATTAGATTGATCTAACAGCAAGTCCTCATCTCCTTTTGATTTTGGTTTTGGTTTTGGTTTATACAGTGAACCACCCTTAAAGTGTGAACCAACACTATTCGTACCAGCTTGAGAAGCTCACCTAAACATTAGTAAAGTAGTGTGTGACTCTGAATGCTTATTAAACTGAACCCAAAATGGATTCTTCCTGTACTTGATGGCCACCCTAGATTTCCAATGTATGTTGTGTACAATTTTGTACCATTATAAAATATGCTGATTTAAAAATATGGTCATATAAAAATGTATGTAAATTATAGAATGTACTCTTAAAGAAGTAGAATTACTTGGCTTTACATTATCTTTAAAGATTTTTAATAGGTATTACACATTTGCCCTTCAAAAGGCTAAACCAACGTTCTACAAGTGCCTGCTGAAGTCTGTTTTTTAAGTCTTTGCCAGTACTAGGAATTAGTATTTAACCAAATCATATCAATAAGATTGATGAAACAGTCTCTTACCATTTCACTATGTATTTCTTTAGCTGCTAACAAGCTTGCTTCTAATATCCTTCAGAGGTCTATTGGCCATTTGTAAAAGTAAAGTTTAAAAAAAGTGTAGTGAGATGCTATTTTTGTACACAGTCACCTGTTCAGAGTTCTAGGTATGTTTTTGATATGTTTATAAGGTTGTACAAGCATTTTCACAGCGTGCAGTTTTAGGACACTTTTATAATCCCAGTTAAATCTGTTGTGTTATTTCCAGACATTTCTCAACCCTGTCCCCCACTCTAGGCAGTCACTAATCTGTTTCTTCTATCTAGTTATGTTTTGTATTCTATCTTCTATCTGTAAAGTTATATAAATGGTATCCTATTATATGTGGCTTTAACCTAGCAGCATATTTTGAAAAGTTCACTCATGTTACAGAAAGTATTGGTGCTTCCTTCCCTTTTCTTAGACGAGTGGTGCAGATGAACTGCATTTTGTTTATAAAGAGTAATGCCACTGTGAGTCATGTGCAAGTTCTGCTTGGATGCATTGATTCAATTTTTAAATACCCGGACCCTAGGAATTAGAATTGCTGGGACACCTGGTAATGATTTAACATTTTGAGGAGATTTCAAACTATGTTCCAAAGTCAGTGTACCATTTTGCATTCTCACCATTACACTGTGAAGGTTTAAATTTCTTTATATCCTCACCAACTCTTTGATTATCATTTGCATCATAGATATTTGTTAGTGATTTTGGAGTAAAAAACAGCATTTTAAAACAAACTTTTGGGGCATGAAATTTTGTCAAGTACGGTATAAGGGGTGTTGTCTCATATGCCAGTGGCATTTCATGACAATTTATTGACCTTATGTTTCATTATTGTCTTGGAATGGCATTAAATCATTTTGCTATGTATGTCTGATTTATTTTTTACTTACATTTTTCCTAACAGCAAAATGTTTACTGAATTCATCCTAAATGTGCCGGTGGGTTTGCTGACCATTCAGAAGCTCTACTGCTTGATTGAAATTGTTCATAGTGACCTTTTCACACAGCATGGTGAGTGGAACCTCAAGAATTATTAAATTGTCACATTATCCATTGTCTGAAAATTGGGACTCTCTGAATTCTGTCCTTACCATAAGGAGTGGAGCTTGCACCTAATTAAAACAATTTCATTGCAAGACAGGGCAACTTAGCTTTTAAGAGAATAGTAATTGACACATAGCCTAGGTAATAGATCATTGAAAATGAAGGCAACATCTCGTAGTTTATAATTTAGGTGCACACCAAAGCTCCTGTATAATCAGCAGACATTGTAGCCTTTACAATGTGTGATTGTCTATCTTGGGGAGGCAATCACTTGCATCCATTGAGATGATTGCAAAGAAAAAAAATTCAAGTTTTCTTTAAATTCAGAAGTAATGGTTCTGTGCTATTCTGAACTCTGCTTTCTTTAGCAAGGGTTCTTAAGACCCTGCTCAGAGTAATAAAAATTCTAATGATTCTTCAATTCCTTTATCCTGAGGAACACCTTACATATTCTCTCATTATCTCCCCACCATTTTGATTAATCATTTTCTTTCTATTTGGCAGATTGAATTAATATTATACATATGTCATGCAGTTTTATTGAAAGTTTAAAACTATTGCATAGTTCCACAACCTTTCTTATTTATTTGAGGTAAAGATGGAGTCGATAGAGTGATATCCAGACTGACTGGTTCAGATTAACTTTGTTCATTTGTGCCTAGACATCTCACTGTTCCAATCATCTTCTTCAGTTCCATGCACAGTGATGTTTGTAGTTCTTTTGGCTTGGAAAGTCCTCATTGTGTCACTGCTGGCCAGGCTGAGAACTTTTTACATCTGATTTAGTGCTTGGTACTTTCTTGGCTTCTGGATGTTTCTGAGCTAATCTTATTTCTTGACTTAACTTTATAAAATGAATTGTACACTTGTTGCTAAGGTGTATGTTGAAAAAAATACCAAGACCTCACATCTGGGTGGGAACATTCTTCTCAAGAAAAACTATCCACCAAGATGTGGGTGGCTTTCTACAACCTCTCCCTACAAATCTCTCTTTGGTCAAAAGCCCATTTCTCTCTCCCATAAAAGAAAGCCAACCCTCCCCCATTGCTTTGGACTTGAAGAATATGAATCTGCCTTCAACTGTTAATCCCAACTATCCATATTTCAGGTTTTCAGTGGAGGGCTCGGTCCTGAATTGTCTGTTGTTTAGATACCTTCCACCCTGGGATATCCTGATACTTTAGGAAAGTCTGCTAAGAACATGTTGTATAGAAACGCTGCTGCTGTCTTTGCTTCCATATAGACAACACAATCACACCTTAGTTGTCAAAATCAACTCATGCCAAATTCATTTTTGAACACCAAAAAGTTCGAGGACTGAGCATATTTTTCCCATAAGAAACAAAGTAAAACCAAAAAATTGGTTCTGAGACCCCGAAATCACCACTTACAGATTCATTTTTTGAGGATTTTAACAATTTTTGCAATGATTTCTTTACCTCAGTTGTGGTTCTCACAGTTTCCTTTTAGCTTTACTGCTGGCATCACTGACTTTCTCTGGAGCTATGATTACCGTAAGTACAATTTTGTATATAAAGTGAAAAAAATGCACGATAATGAAGGTTTTAACCCACGAACACCAGCACTGTGCGTTGTCTGCGTGAGAGCAGTGCTTAGACTGAAGCCCACTCCTTTATGTCTTTTGGGACTCACTCTCTGCCTGGACACACTTTTTGAAGTTGGATTTTCATTTGAATTAGCCAGCAAAGTTATGAGCACTGAGTGGTTTCTTTGGATCTTTGCTGTTTGAGTCATGGGAAGTTTGAGTTTGGAGCCATTTGACTTTATTTTATAGTAAAACATATAAAACCCTCCAGAAGCTTTATATCTAGGCTTTATCAGGTAGATCACTGACGTTTGGTATGTCCGCCATCCAGTGCCAAAGATGCACACATACAAACAAAACAAACACAGAAATGAATCATCACCACCAGTACCATCATAGATGTCTTTAATTAAATTAGTTCTATTAGGCTCCCTCTCACCCAAAAAATACCAGGGAGAGATTTTGCAAAGAATTATGAAATTGATTATAGTAGAGTTTTGCATTGGGACTGCGTATATCATAGTAAATTATGGTCTTAATCAAAGAGATTGACACAAGGGAAATGTTTAAAGGCAAAATCAGGAAAATTACCTTGGGTATTTGAAACAGTAATGCTTGGCCACAATGGTTAATAACATATATGGTCTTAGTTCAGTGTTGAGCAGACAACTGCTGTCCTTGTAGCAATACTCTGAGTAAGTTTACAGTGACATCTTTGCAAGTTTATGGTCTTGAACTTTTTTGTGATAGTTATATCAGGAAATAGTATGAGCCCATATTCTGCAACATCCCCTCTATATTTTATAATAGACTTGATACCAGTGGCAGTTTGTTCATTTTGACAACTTTCATGTTCTCCACTTTTAATCAACATTATTCTTTGAAAGCCTCATTGATCAACTATTCTGTAGTTAGGGTCTGATTTTCTGTGTATACTAGGATGAACTGTTTTTGGTTGTGGTATTGGGCTCAAACTGAGGGTGGAAGTGGTTAATGACTGTAAGTCACTGTCAAAACCTTTTGAGACACACTTGAGCCTCAGAGATGTAGAAAGAGTAGTCTCATGTAAAGTTTACCTGGAGAATACTTTTTTTTTTTGGAGACTGGCTCTCACTATGTTGTTCATGTCAGGGTTGATTTGAGTGCTGGGATTATAGGCAGGTGCCACCATGCCCAGCTGGAGTATCATGTTAAAGTCAGTTCTGTCTCTTCTGTAGGCAGTAGGGTATCATCTTTTAAGTGCAAGGTTAGGTGATTTTGTTATTAGTTGAACAGTTTTGATTCAGAACAGTTAGAAAGTTTAAAAAGAAAAATGTAAAACCACCAAGAGCAAAACAGATCCTATTTGTATAGTACTGTGAACCAAAGAAACTTAAGGTTTTTCTTTTCACAGTTTCTGAACCAGAAAAATCTTTTTCTTTTTACAGTTGTATCAATTTTTACCAAGGGTAATCAAAGAAGGACCAGGTTGGTTATGAATTAAGTCTACTTTTTTTTTTTTTTTTAGAAAAATCATATTTGTGTGTACTTGTGAGAATCTTCCATTTTTATGACTCAGATTATAAATGCCTTTAAAAAGAATCAAAACTATGGATGAGCCAGGTGCAATAGCACAATGCCTATAATCTCAGCACTGGAGAAGCTGAGATAGGAAAATTATTTGCAAGTTCTAGGTCAGATACATAGTTTATGGCCAGGCTGTACTACTTAAGGATAACCCATTTCAACCCACTCCCCTCACCCCCAAAGACAAATAAAAAACAAATACCCCAAATAAATAAATGAAAGACAAAACAAAACTGTGACTGACCAAAAATACTCAAGAGTCATGGTTTAATTTTGATGAAAGACTAGTAACCAAGAAGAAGATTCAGTTATTTTATGGTTTACAGCTTTTCAAGATAATAATCATAAATGGTTACATTACATTAAGATCATCTGACCAAATTTTACATAATCTTTATTACATTTATATCAGTAATATGTATCAAACATTACTGTTAAATAAGTCATTTATTGAGCCAAAGTAACAAGCCAGATTTAACTAGTTTTGTGGTCATTCAGAATACTTTAAGACAAATAGTTAAAGAAGCTCTAAACTTTTTAGATTTTTTTCCTAAGTGATCCAAAACTGAGTAAAGGCAGCAAAAAAAAAAAAAAAAAAAAATTATTTATATATTAAACAAAACAGAAAAAAGGAAAGAAATAACAGAAGTTTTTAAAAAGTAAGAAATCAACACTAGTTAATATATTGTGTATTGCTATCTTAGAAGTATTTCAGGTGACAAGATCTAGGCATAAAAAACGATCAGACAATCAAGGACAGCAGCATTCTTTTTGATAAACTAACAGAAGTAGTAGTATGGTTGGCTCACATATACATACATACAGGTATAGGTGTAATCATATAATCTTTTCCTTTCTTTCATTTTTCCTTTCCCCTATTCCAGTTGTTCTTTCCTTATGAGCTCTTTCTTTTGCTTTTGTTATTACAGTATCCATTTTTACACTTTAGGTCTTATTACTCTTTCAGTTTTTATTGTTATTATTTATTTTTTACACTAGGGAGATAATATGATATTTACAAATGTGAGGCTGATTTATTTCACTTATGAGTATAGTCTCCAGTTGCCTCCATTTATCTACAAAATCCTCAAGATTATCTTTATAGCTGAATAATATTCCATTATATAAAAATACCACATCTTTTTTATCTATTCTGCGATTGATGGGCATTTTAGTTATTTCCAAGATTAGCTATTATAAGTTTTGCTGCTATAAACAAGTGCACATATATGTCTGTGACATGACCTTTTCAGTTTCCTGGGAAAATAACCCGAAGGAGAATAGCTGGAATGAACAGGACTTCCAATCCTAGTTTTTTGCGGAATCTCCATGCTGATTTCCAGTGGCTACACCAGTTTACACCCACCAGCAGTGGAGAAGGGTTCCCTTTTCCCCACAGCCTTGCTGACATTTGTTGTCAATTGTTTTCTTGATAGCAACCACACTTTTCTATAGTGAGATGGAATCTCTGTTGTTTTAATTTGCATTTCTCAAATGACCAGTGATGGTGAACATTTCTTCATGTATTTGTCATTTGTATTTCTTCATCTGAGAAGTGTCCATGTTCATCTCAAATGCACATTTTTGGATTGGGTCTTTGAATTTGGGGGGCCTGATATTTTTCAATTCTTTATGTGTTCTAGATGTAAGTCCTTTGAGGGACGGCTGACTAAAATTCTTTCCCATTCTGTGCGTTTTCTTTTCACTCTGTTGGTGATTTCTTTTGAAGCACAAAAACTAACTTTTTAATAAGATGAGATCCCAAGTGTTGATTCTTTGAAGTGCTTCCCGTGTGGTTTGTGTTTTGTTCATGAACTCTTTGCTTACCTCTATGTCTTCAAGATTACTACATAAA